GGAGGCTATAGAATCATAACATCATAGAAAATTAGAGATGAAATGGTCCTCAAGAAGTCATTGAATCCAATCTCCTGCTCCAAGCAGGATCACCCCTGTCTAAACCATCTGAGACAAAGGCTTGTCTAAGTTATTCTAAAAACTGCACAAACAACCCACTTGCACAAGTATTAAGCACAATGCCCCAAAACGCTGAGAATATCTTTAGTTGCCATGGGTAAAAAGCAGGGAGGGGTGAGGATACTGTCAACGTGGATTCTGGGGCTCCCGTTATTAAGGTACATTTGAGAAATCCCAGGAAATGGGCCGTACCCTCCATTACAGAGGAAGGCAAAAATCCCCACAATTTCTGCCAATCTGACCATGTGGTAAAATTCTTTCATGACCCCCAAATGTGGCAGCCACTGTGACCCTGAGCAGAGAAACAATACCTAACCAGGAACCTCTGGGTTTTTAAGTCCCCACAGGAGTATTGTCATGCCTGCAGCATCAGAAGACAGCTGAGCTGGGGTACTATGAATGTCAGTGTTAACTTAATGATGTAGTATAAAGCACAAGAGGGCCTTCGGTATATAGTGCCTATTCTTGAAAAATTTACCCATCTTATATTTGATACAATGTGCACCTTCAGGGAGGATAGAAATTTTCTGTCTTTTGTTACATAGTTGTTGGACATTTAGCTCAATGACTGAAGCTTTTGGGTGCTAATGTAATGCAAATTAGTACTTTTCTTCTCATGCGAATTTACTTTTCCAAATAGCTTTAAATGTTCATCTGATACCACATACATGTTTCCATTTTTACAGCATGCATTTAATATATATGGGATATTAGGCAACTATAGTGTCACATCTATATAAGATGCTATGTCTGGAGTCTGTGGTTAAGGTTAGCATATTTTCATGTGAAGAACTGTGTGCAAAGATCACAACTTTTGTGTATGTGACTGGAAGGGGAAAATAAAAGAAAAACAAAGAGACAGGCACAGGAAAAAAATATGCTATGATAGGAAAACTCTTGCTTTTCAGTACAAATGGTGAGAAGAATTCTACCCCAATTTTTTTCCAGGAAACCCCTTTTCTCACAGTAATTCATGATTACTCCAAACAGGGTAGTCACAAGCACAATCTGTAAAAAGAATCAGTTTGGTTCTTAGAACAAAATTTCATACCGGGGTATAGTCCATGATTCCTTGTGGCCTCACCCACTTTCACAATTTCTTTTCCATAGGTGGATCAAGTTCACCCATTTTGTTGTTTTCATAAAGTTATCCTCTGCATTCATTAGGTGTACAACACATGAGGCTGTGGATAAATTCTGAGCAAACGATTTGCATGCCAGATATTCAAAGAGAGTAAGGGGCATAGGATGCTCAAAAGCCCTGTACAATAAACACCAGATTCTGATTTTCAGAGGGCTTACTCTGACTACTGGACACACACTATTCTTCTTTTTTAATAATGTTCTTTTTGAGTAATTTCCTGATGGTGCATTGCCCCCATTTCCATATTTTATTTTTATTTGCAGCTTAAGCTGGCTCTTTCTTTGCTGTTGTTAAGAGAACTACCCTATGAGCATGTCCAGAGAAGAAATGCATTTTTCCAATCTAAATTTATATTTGGAAAAGTTGTTTTTTTGTCATCCCCTCAGGAGTTGTTTGGACACAGGTCCTTGAGAACTCAATCAGTTGTAAGTATATCTCAAGCCATGCCTAACAGAGCCAATAAACTGTTTGTTCGGAAATTTAGTTCTGAGTTTTATTGTGTGAAGACTTTTAGTTCCTCATGCACAAGATTGTACCCAGTACAAACAGCCTTAAAATAAAACGGTAGCAGCATGTGCAAGAAGAATAATTATCAAATTGTACATCTGGCCATTTCTACAACTTGCTGAAACCCACATATGAACCACAAAGAACTGATATTTGCGCAGACTCATTCTAATCACATATATCCATACTATGTCATAGATATAATCTCCATGTATGCAGTGAAGTTACCAAGCACAAATGAATATATTGTATGTAAATACCCAATTTTGTACACTTAATTTACTGCCTTCTACTTTGGGGTTTAGCTTTTTAAAATGTCCATGGGTACAGTTTGTTGCTCATGGGGGCAGAATGATCGTTCCCCAAGGTTGCATACTTTGGAAAGCGCACATACCAGGAGTATTCACTCAGTACATGTGGATGTAACAACTCTGAACATTCAGTTTGGGAGTCAAAGAATTAACCATTATTTTTCATCCCCCCCCCCAATGATAAATGAGCTTATTGCCTTTTTTGATGTACTTTAACAATTATCATAATCTGGTCACAGAACCAAGGGGGGAAGAATAAAAGAAAGATGAAAAGACTCAGAGGCAGAAAAAAAGAAGCAAGAAGACACTGATGCTTATTACATAATTTGGGTTTTCATTCCAGTTACATTAAGTACACACCCATATTGTTCTGGAGGAGAGGAAGGTGGGTTTCCATGGTGTGAAAGACAACAGAGGATTGAGAATAAAGTGGGGCATCCTGAGGAAACCTTTGAGGCACTGGGGTGCAATTAACTCTGCAATTTTGACAACCATAAAAATATTAAAAATAATGAGGTTCTTTTTGGATAAATGAGTAGCTTTCAATTGCCTCGGAGACCCCTTGCAGTCTTATGTTTCTAGATTCCCATTTCTGGGACTGTGGGGTAGAATTTTATTATAGTGCTCCCTCTGCAAGAAGAGGTTATCCATTAGCTGAGTGATTTGCCCCAGTGGATTAGGCATGGTTGTGCTCCTTTCTTTTATTTGTGTCTGCTTTGCATTGTTCTGTCATTTTTAGATTTTGATCCTCATCTTTATTTTATGTAGCATTTTGATACCATGGTGATGGATCTATTGTGCTGGGCACTGTGTAAAATAAAGAGATACTACTCCCCCACAGAACATGCAGTCTTAAAGAACAAGACAAGAAAGAGGAGGGGGCACCTGGCTGGCACATTGTACTAGGATGTGCCCGTCACATTCACTGAATGTTGCTGACACGTTTAGCAGGTGTGTGCTGCATGTTCAGCTTCCTGGCAACTGATACTTGGCTGTACGTGGTATCATCAGCATAGACTTGTCTGTAATGTTTGTTATAGAGAGATCTCCATTTATACATCTATGAAGGGATTGTATTTAAAAAAAACCTCACTTTTTGTTTTCATGACAAGAAAGAGAAAGAAAGAGCAAGACAGAGAAAGAGTGAGAGAGAAAGCCAGCCAGCCTCCAGGGCCCAGCATCACCGAGTACAAGTCAATAATAATAATAATAATAATAATAGCCACTGTTTGTACTGTTTGTGATCATTTAAAACTTGGCTAGACAATCTACTTGAAAATTAACTTGCAATTACTGAAGGACATGCAGGAAGGTTTGAAGGCTTTCTCCTATCTTTAACTTCTATAAGTCAGTTCTCATTATATTTGGTCAACAGCGGTTATGGTCTGACAGCCACATGAAGTGGATTGTGGGAGAAGTATATGCCATCAGCTCAGTACATAACTGACAGATGTTCTCATTACAAAATTGCCATCCTCAGCTGATATTAATGGGCATTCAGTGGTCTAGTGCTGCAGTGCTCAACCGGTGCTGAATGAAGTGAGGAGGGAAGAAGCTTCATGGCTTAAATGCTTCCAAGTGTTGATATCGAGATTGAGTTCATGTTGCATGAATTTGAAAAATTAATGCAGTCTGAAGGCCTTTTACATGTTACTATTTGCTTTGGCTTTTCTTTCTGTGTTTTCTACACTTGTATTCTTTGAATTTCATTTTCCTTTTAAATCAATATAGTAATTATGAGAGTGGACCTGACCCCAGTGACTATATGTTGATGGGAAGCATTGGTAAGTCACAGAACAAGAAATGTATGGTGGACCACTTGTGGTCAAAATGAGAGAATGCTTATGTACAGCTTAACTTTAAAAGGCTGTGGCACAAGGAGACATTCAGCATTTTGACTACAGCTGGTCAGTTTCTAAAAATACTAAAAATGTTCAAAACCACAAAAAAGGGAAGTACCATCTTGCAGCCACACGGAGTTGCAAATTTAAATGGATGAACAAAAACCCTTCCATTCCAAAAAGCATTTAACAGCCTCATGCTTTCTCTAACTGTCCCTGTGTAATGTTATAATGTTCTGTATTAAAAATATCTTTTGCTGAAGTGCTTATTTTAGTTGACTGGGCTCTGGCTTCTAGTTTTGTAACTCGGCCAATTCAGCAGTGCCATGATGTGGAGCCTGATGCTTCTTTACCTCATACCTCTGTAGCCTTTATGGCAATGCAAAGGATGTGCCAAATTCTGCTATTCTGACTCACTAAACAGATCCCAGTCAAGGCTTTGTCTACCCCTTTGCTTCCAGAACTTGTGCCAGCAGCTGCCACAGGTAAATCCATAAGAATATATTCACATCTGCACAGCTCCTGGTGGCTCCACGTAGTTCTAGTAGAGTGGCTGTAGTAGGAGTAGGGCAAGGTACATCCTGGGTAGGCACCAGCTGTCAAAGGGAAAACAGCAGCTGGCAGAAGACATGGGTGTGTCTACATGCACCTTCTGCTATCTACTAGATGGCAGCAGAAGCTTAATTTTGGTCAGAGACATGATGTTTCTCCACTGTCTGAATGAAGGGGTTCTCCTGCCACAGAAGAGTTCTTAATGGAGACACCCACAGTTTTACTGGCAGAATCTGAGTTCTGCAGGTAAAATTCTGCAGTATAGATCTGATCTAAAGCCAGAGCCCCTTATTTTGTAACAAGGGATAAGATGAGAGGCGATTTGCATTTTCCTCGACTACTCGTATACCTACTTTTACTCCACAGTAAGTAGAAGCTAAAGTGGAAACTTAGCTTTGAATGGAATAGAATAGTTGCCACAGGGTACGGTGGGCATATCAAGTTATCACTGGGGCAGCTGATGTGTGTTAAATCCTGTCCCCTTTTAACTTGTTGTGACCTGTACCCTAGTGTCTAAAGATAGAAATGTTGGATATGGACAAAGGAACAGATTACTGCCAGTATTCAGGGCACAGGGACTTACCAGAGGTGAAGGAAGAGCTCTGTGGTAGCTCTTCCTGTGCTTACAGTTTGCTCTTTGGGGTGTGGTTCATTCAGAGCTAGGGTGTGAAGCTTTAGCTTTTACTCTGAGAGATTGGGGCGGAAAGTAGGCAGAGGGGCAGTTACTGCCGATGTGGAGGAAGTCACAGACCATACATACCTGCCCTTAGTCTCCAGGTTTCTATTTTCAGAATAATGCTAAATGTTGACAGGGTGGAAAAATTCTGTCATAACCAGATCTGTACAGTCATCAAGGACTGGAAAAGGCATTTAGAGCAATGGATTTTGTTTTGGTGAGATCCATTTGGTATGTTTTCTTATGCAAACATAACCCAGGCTTGGAAATATTTTCATTGCACTGGAATTTTTGTTAAAAGGGCTTTGTTATAATGATATTCCATCTGTAGTTAATACTTCTTTGCACCCTCAACAGATTAGTTTCAAAATTGCAAAAAGCCATTACACCATAATATAGATTCTTCATCTGTTCCATATTTTTGGAATACTCGTATTTTGCTCTTCTTTTGATTTTGTTCTCCCCATCTTTCTATTCATTTGTAGTCTAAAAATAACCCATTCTTTTCCTCCCCAGCCAAAAACAAGGAAGTTCATTTTTACTTGTAGCCACATAATCTAAGGGCACAGGGGAATGGTAAAGGGTGCCATTTAGATTTGGTTGTGCCTTCTGCGCGTTCTCTAGGTCACAGAGCACATCTTTTCTCTGTAGGTTGACTCCTATGATGTTACTGTGGCCGAAGACCTGGGAGAAATCCAGCTGATAAAAATTGAGAAGCGAAAGTATTGGTACTTGGATGATTGGTATCTTAGGTACATTACTGTGAAAACACCAATAGGTGACTACCTGGAGTTTCCCTGTTACAGATGGATCACAGATGAAAAAGAGATTGTCCTCCGAAATGGAGCAGGTGAGTACCACAACAGAATGTACAACATGTAAAGCACAGACTCTTTTCCATCTTTTGCTCTCCTCTTGTTGGGATCCTAGCCTTCTCTTCAATTGCTGTCCCCTTTTTTCTAAGTTGTGAACCCATCGTACATGCTTGACATTACTTCTTTTCTTGACACTGTGGGATAGGCTTTTCCAAATGATCAGGCCCCAAATGCAGATTTATGAAGTGCTTGCCCAGTCTGGAGTTAGCAATTGAGCTGGTTAGTTTTGAGAACAGGGGACATGGGCTAGGGAGTGATTCTAGATGGGGGGATCCTCAGCACACTACTACTGCTTCTTCACTGCTGGAAGACCCTTTTAAGTCCTTGCACAAACATTCCCTTGTTGCTTAAACTTGAGACCCTAAACCATACCAGTTCTCCAGGTATTATCCACCATGAAATTGTCCTATTTTCTTAGGGTCCATTTCAAACCCAGGAAACCATTGCTTACAATGAAAATCCAATTTGCAGAGCATCAGGGCTAGCTGGCAGTCGGATTCACTGGAAAAGAGGTGTCTTTATCCTGCAAGAACCAGGAATAAGGCTGATAGGGTTAAATGTAGCGAAGTGAATGGTTGGCATTGTTGGTGGCAACTGATTTGATCTGGGACCTATGCTTTAGCCTGATCAGGTTACCACTACCCTTCCTTTGCCATTCCAGTGGCCCTGTAGTTGTGCCTCTAGCAATGTCTACACTGTGGCAGCAGGGTCACACCACTAAAGGAATAGACTCCACCCTCCTGCTCCATGCACTTTAACTTTGGAAATGCAACTGTGAGGACATCCCAGGGACACCCAGGCTCTGAGCATGCTATCAGGCTAGCTAGGTTACACGTGTGCTGCTGACTGGTTACTGACAAGAGGCAGGCGACAGTTCTATTGCCTGGCTTTCGACTGCTTGCACCTAAAGCAAAAGACACACTTACTCCAGAGCCTCTCTGGCTGCCCATTATAGTAGGACTCAACTGCTTGCCTGCCCCCTTGCTAGGGGAGGACTGGTGTGGGGAAGATGGGATTATGCCAGGATCAAGTCCTTTTTGGGACTCCCTAGGCTCATCTACACATTCATTAATGTGCTATAATTATGACACATTAAATTTAGTACTTTTGGGCATCTATACACATGCTCCAGGGTGGAGGGGGCTGCTTTAATTAGAGTGGCTCTGAGAGCCGTTTGAATTAAAGCACCTGCACTGTCTTGTGTATTCAGGGTTCTGTGCTTGAAAATGGTTGCGGGGCACTTTAACTAAAGCTCATCAAATGAGTTTTAGTTAAAGCACCTCTGCCGCCATTTTGAAATGCAGGGGCACTAAATACACGTGATGTGGAGGCTGCTAGGGTGTGCTAATTAGCATGCTCTAGCAGAATCGCAGCAGACTCAATTGAGTCTGCTCTGACACATGCTAATTAGCACACGTTGGAGCAGAGGTCCATTGTGTATAGGTGCTCTGTAATAACAGGTACTAAACTTAATGTGCTATAATCGGTGCTACTGTGCATCAGTGCAAATGGATGCTTTTTTGTGATACTTAATACTTATTAGACTAAGTCTACTGCACATTAGCGTAAACAAACACTTTTTTGGTGATGCTTAATGCTATTTGGACTAATCTATCCATTAGCACATTAGCATGGCTTTTGCCACCTATACTAATGTGCAGTAGAATGAGTGAAGTATCTCATGTAGATGCTCCCCCTCTTCTCTGTCTCAACTTCTCTTTTGCTCAAGTCCACATAGAGATACATTTAGCTCCAGCACACATCTTCTGATAGGCTGGTTTCACTTCCATTTGTCTGTCTGGTACTCCTGGAAATCCACCTAAACCACCCCTTCAGTGATTGTGGAACGTACCAACTAACCAAAACTTATGACATTGTGAAACTGAAGGGAGGCTTTCTTAACCCTTTTCTTATAGGCCTGGAGCGTTGTCTTATTCTTTTCCTGCTTTCATTTCTTTATCTTGTGGTAAAAAAAGATAAGGAACTGCCTGCCTTTATATTTATCTGAAGCTTCCAACAGTTCAAGAAACCTAGCATAAGCATATAGATACAATATAGCAATACATAAACTACACCAGGCTACACAGTTTACATATTGTTATTAATAGAGCCTACAGTATGCACATGTAGGCTTTGTAAGCAATTTTGTTATTCATCAGTCCATTAGTAATTAAACCTGATGCTAAGACCTTCTAGCAAGTGGTTTCTTGTTATACCTTTCTTGCTAAACCTAAATTACCATTTGCTTAGTTGGCTGCAGTCATTATTTAAAACATGCTACTGAATGTGCCGTTTGGCATGCTTGAAGGATTCATGCTATGATCACTTAAGAGGAAGTTGGGGCCTTCTCTTCAGTTGTGCTCTTGTAGCCTGTTTGGGCGTTTAAAAATGGCCAAGACTGGTTTCCGGCACCTAGGACATCCTCATCATCTCATTTCCTTGATTAATGCATGTGGTATGGGAGCAGGTAGGTGCACATTCCTCAGCTGCATGACTGAACACTGCTGCCCCTGCATAGACATACCGTCACTGAAGTTTGATTGCTGCAATGTGCCAAAGAATAATGAACCACTGAAAATGTTGGTCTTGTGCCTGAAGATATTGTTGGAAAGCTGGGCTTTCGTATAATTGCTATCTCTGCATTCAGCTCACCAACTGCCTAATTAGGGATACCCTGAGCCTAGGAGTTTGGTTTTCAGTGGACATGTCTGCACGTAGAATTAATGCACCTGAATTTTCTTTTCAGAAAAAAAATCAGGCTCATTAAAGTGCTCTAGGGCATAGGTTTACACATATACCTCATTGGGAGCAAATGGCTCCTGACAGGAGCAGCCTAATCCAGCGCTGTTCCTGTCTTGCTCTGGCCCCCCTGCAGCAGCCAGGGGGAACTCCAGGCACCCCCAGGTGTCAGCCTCAGGGCTGGCAGGAGGCACAGGGCCACTCCCAATTCCCATGTGACTGGGAGAGTTGTCCCCACTCGGTGGGGACACTGCGAGCCATGTGAGAATTGGGAGGGTCCCAATTCCCACATGGCTGGGAGAGCCCCGCCTCCCATTGGGCAGGGATGCTGTCTGCCAGCAACATGGAGATTGGGAGGGTCCTGAGCTCCCTGTGGCTGGCAGGCAATGTCCTGCCAAGCGGGACAGGTCTCCCTGCCCCCTGTGGCTTCTGCTGGCTAGGTTGACTAGGAGCAGTTTGCTCCCAGTCACCATCTACACATGCACTACTGTGTGGTAGCTAATGTGTCATTAATTCAGTACCTGTAATTGTTGGTACCAGCAAACTGTGCATTAGCCTAATTTACTGCACAGTAAATCCCACACACATGTAGATGCTGACACTTTATTGCACATTAGATTAGTCTTTTGTTAGATGCATCCAGTATGGCTAAGGCCATTAATGGTCTGGGCCAAACTTTCTCAGCTCTGGCTTACTGCAGAAGGTCTCCCCTTTAGGAGCTTGGAAAGGGATTTTCATGTCTATTATTTTCAGGACTGTCTTTCAGGGACAAAAAGCAGTGTGTGGCTTTTGGTACGTGAAGAAATAAAGGATTAATATTAGCAAGATCTCAGTAGTTTAGCAAGTTTGCCAGCCAGATATAGATTAGGTTGTTATCAGCTCCATTACATTTGCCAGCATTGTCTCTGAACCTTAAACAGGCATTTCCTTAAAAGTGCTAGTGGCTGCATTCACATTTCCTTTTGTGTATGTAAAGTATGTTGTCTGCTTAGCTTTTCCTTTGGTCTGATTCATAAACTTATCTTTCCTGTTCCATTGATTTTAATTGGTCTCTACCTTACTGAATAAGATCAAAGCTACATGTTCAGAGCATCAGTCCATCAGTGATAAGAAGCCTTTCTTTCATTCTTCTCTTCCTTATTCTCCTACCATTGTTCTTCCAGATCCATAAAAGACAGTGTGATTCTAGGATAGGCTGCCTTTTTCTAGAACCATTCTTCCATGGGGAATGTTTAAAAAGGCTGTCATTGAAGCAGAGAACTCCACTTGTGTCTGACGTGCAAAATCAATTCACAGATACACTACCTATGAAGTTATAAGGAACAGTATAAGGACTGTGCAGTAGATCTGATCTATCTAGATTTAAGCAAGGCATTTGAGAATGGACTTCACAGGAAATATTCAGTTCAGCTGCAGATGAGTAGCTGGCTAAAAGCGAGACTACACCAAGTTACAGTGAAAGGACAATTATCTGATCAGAGAGAGGTTATTAGAGGCAACTTTAGGGACTGGTCTTAGGATCTATTCTGTTTACTACTTTCACTAGTGACCTTGGCTCAGGAACTAAATGTGTCCTTATGGACTTTGTGGATGGCAAAATTTGGGACATACTGCCAATACAGAGGAGGAACAGATTATCATACAGGAAAAATTAGATAATCTTGTGAATGGAATAATAGAAATGGGATAAAAGTAATGGTATGAAGTGCAAAGCCACTTAAGGACTGATACAAAGAACTTTTGCTATAAGTTAGACTCTGGCTGGAAGTGGCGGAATACATTGGTTACGTGTGGGATGACCAGGAGCTGCAAATGTGAAACAGATGTGAAAAAAGCTAATGCAAATTTAAGGTGTGTTCTGTGGGATACTTTTAGCAGAAACAGGGAAGTATTCATATAACTGTGCAAGGCACTGGTTAGACCTAATTTAGAATACTGTACATAGTTCAGGTCACCTTTATTCAAAAATTAGTTTAAAATGGAGCAGGTGCAGAGAAGGGTAATTATAATGATTAAGAGAATGCAAAATTTATCTTATCTTAATTTATCTTAAGAGAGACTAGTTTGTTAGCAAAATGCAGGTTCAGATGGAATATGATTACTTTTTGTAAGTACATTTTGGGGTGATATCAGGGAGAGAGAAGAGCTATTTGAAGTAAAGGACAAAATTGGTACAAAATTAAATGGGTGAAAACTGGTCACAAAAAGTTTTAGACTATAAAATAATTAGAAAGTTTCTAACAATAAAGAAGTGAGTTCTGTAACAGTCTCCTGAACAAAATAATGGAGACAGGGAAACTGAATTATTTTAATATGGGGCTTAGTAAGTTTATAGAAGAGACAGTAAGGTAGGCATGTTCCTGGAATAGTAATCAAAGTGTGGGATATGAGGTCTGTGAATGTTTGGTATCCTCATGACAGGAGTAAAAGGAAATTTGATCACTGTTTGAGTTGCTAATATATGTGGGAGGTGCTTGGGAAACCCTTGCTTCAAGGCTTCTGTCACTTGCAGCAGAAAAGAATATTTTCCTCTTTGAATGCATTATTTAGCTTCCCACTGACCCCACACTTCCTCTAAAGCTTTATACATTGAATGTGGCTGGAGGAAGGATTTGGATTTGGGTGTGCTGGTGTTCACTGATTGTAGTCTTGCAGGGATCTGGATGGTTTGGACCATTGGACCACTTTTTAGGATCATCTGACCATGTGCTACCATGACAAATACCCTGCTGTTACAGTAGTCAAGGCATTGTTGATGCCTTTGTCTCCCCAGCTCTCTCTCAGTGGTACACTGTAGACATTTGTCTATACTGGCTTCTCTTGCACACCACAACCACAAAACACCTTTGGGATTGTGGTGTGCAAGAGAAGCTAGTATGGACAAAGTTTTTCTTATATTGCCTGCAGTCACAGAATCTGGACTGGACAGTCTGGGTGGTTCATTCCTATCTTGTGTAGCTCTAGGGCTGGAAACAGCCCACCTGAAGGTGTGGACAATGAAGAGATCTCACAGCACAGTGTGCATCTTCTTCATTTCACAGCAAAGCTGCCCCGGGATGACAAGATCCAGATCCTCAAGCAGCATAGACGCAGAGAGCTTGAAGACCGGCAAAAAATGTATCGGTGAGTATCTTTTCGCATCTCTGCTTTGCAGTGTGTGCACCCAGAGAATGCCTCAGTCCCTTCCTGGCAGCTGAGTGCTTGTGGCACAAAACCATGGAGGTGACTGTCACAAGTTGGCTGTCTTGGCAGTGAGGCCAAACTTTGAAGCGAAACTGTATTCCCCTGGAGGTCAGGATTAGAGCATAGGGGAAGGACAACATCATGGTGTTTAGTTTGCTGAACTGGGTCTGTTCATCCTTGTCTCCTGTTGGCTGTACACAACTTTTGCTGAGGCTGGATTAATTAAAGGTGTAAATCCACTGTTGGTGCAGAGAGTCGGCATAGTCCAGTGTTGCCATTTCAATCTCAGGTAAGGCCTTTCTTAGGAACAGAGGTATGTAGGGCCAGAAGAGACTGCTCAGGTCATTGAGGCCAGTCTCCCGTCATCGCAGGTAACTCTGTAATTGACAAGTCCAAAACGTTCCACAGGAACATTAATTCCAGCCCTCCTGCATGCACAGCCACAAAGGCTCTGTCTAGCCTTCCCCTAACCCCAACAAGCTTAGGATCTTGAGAAACAAAACCCCCAAGCTTTAGTAAACTACAATGTGCCATAAGAAGAGAGCAGGACAGGCCAAGGGAAGTCAGTGCCATGGAACTGTGCAGTGAAATGGAATTTGTTAAGTAAAGTATGCTCAGATATTTTAAACAGTATGGGAGCATCTACATGTATGCTTTAATGTGCATTAGCTTATTTTAATGTGCATTAAAATGTCACTAAAAACTGCTATTTAGCTAATGAGCCCTAAAATAGGTTATATACATTAAGCATCACTTAAAAACCGTGCTCTTTAGTTAATGCACATTAAGGCAGGCTAATGTGCATTTTCCTAGTACCTCACAATGGAGGTACTAGATTTAATGCACATTAACTAACGCATGTTAATGCACACACCCTATATGCCCATAGAGGAAGTCCTATAGGGGAAGACAAAAAAACCTGATGGTCCTTGCCCAATTGTCCTGAAAATTCAATCTTGACTCCACATCTAGTGAGTAGTTGAATCTTGACAATGTGAAGAAGGCCTCTGAGAGGTTTGTTAAACTATTGATAGCTGCCATACAACATATGAATGGCAAGAAGCATGATTGTGGGATTGAGCATCAGATCCCATCATGCCATACTGCTGGTACAGGGTCCAGGCAATCTTTGCTCCTGCGGCTGGGGGCCCTGTCAGCTGAAGGAACTCAGCCACAGGAGCTTGTGGCTGAGAGCTTCAATCACTTCATCAGTTTGAACTCCCATCCAGGGGAGCTCTGCTCCCCCAGTTGGGACCCCTGATCAGCTGACCAGTGCTCCCAGCCTCTGGAGCATGTGGGAGTGTCCCCTGGAGGCTGGGATCACTAACCACATATTCAATTAAAGATGCAATAGGAACCAGTGACAAAATTATTCCACATATTTTGTTTAATAACTTAGTTTCTTATTCTTAGCTCTATCACACCATTAATTGAATAAGTATGTGGCCAGGTCACTACTAAAATGTGATTAACCAGTCAATCACATTTTAAGTGTAATGTGCATTGGGGGCCTCAGTGCCACTATGAATACCAGTGGTGCTGGGGGAATTCAGTGGTGTAGTCTTTGACCTTCAGCACAGAGCTGAACTTCACCCAGAAGGAGTAGAGGCAATTTCCACCCCCTCCACCCTGTTTTTTTGTCCAATTCCTTTTAGGATTCTGTCTTCATTTGGTAAACTGGAAGAATGATGTGTCCCTTCCACATCAAAATCATTTGCCATGAATGTAGGGGTGAGAGTGACTTTTTATAACTGATGGATTAATGTTCCAAACACAGGTCCTAGATGTTATTTAATCAGACAAAGACTTCCTTAAAAATAATGGGAAACCAACCACAAAGAAAAACTAATGGGACAGACTAATAGGTGGAGTGATGCAGAAAAGCTGATTTATGTATGCAAAGGAGATGCAAATATAGATCCCTTTAGAATTCTAAGAAAACGACTGTTTACCTTTTGGAAGTAGAAACAGCAGATGTAGCACAACAATAGAATAGATGTAGATCTCAATAGATGTAACACAACAATAGTCTCAATAGATCTCAATAGATGTAACACAACAATAGATCTCAATAGAGATGCATCTCAATAGAGATGTAACACAGCAGTAGAGTCTGGCAGAATCTTTTAAACATTTTTCTTGTATTTCAGAAATTGCCTGCTTTCATGTTGAAATTTAAAATCCTCACACTGATGCCACAAATCAAGCTTTGTGGAAAGCAATAAACAAATCCCATTGCCATTAGGAAGCATTTCTCTTTGGCTGAGGCTGAATTGCTAAGGGAGTGCTGTTTCTCTAGGGTTATTAACTTAAGTTCACTTTCCTCTGGAAGGTCTGAGTGCTTTCAGCTGTTAAAAATTCTGTGAATCTTTTTGTGAAAACAGGAGGCAGGGTTGCCCTTGCATCCCAGGTAGTTTACACCCCACTAAATGATATCCCTGGTTCCAGCTGGGTGTGCTTCTATTCATCGTTCTACTGGAGAGGCAATGCTATTTAGTACACTGAACATTGGATTGGAAGTCAGGGGCTTCTATGTACTTACTTCAAGGCAGAGCCTGGGACATGTTACTAACCATTTTATGTGTTTCCTTATTTGTAAAATTTGTAACTATTATTTAATAAAATGTTGCATGTTGACCAAATCACAGCTGACCTTCTCAGTCATGGCTGCATTTTAGGGTTGAGTGAATGAGCCTTATACCTAGGCTTGGCAGGATTTGATTGTTAGTGATAGACATCGATAAGCAATGATTTCACCAGGCAGTCACAGACCAATGGAAAAATATTTCTGTTGGTAATCATCAAAACTTACAAAAAAAGAAAAGTTAAAAAAAAAAAAAATCTGTGATGGCGGTATGGAAATCTGGGGCAAGGGGTGTGCGTGTGCACACACACACACACAGGCTGCGAGGGGGGCTGGAGTTACTTGCTCTGCAGTGGGGAGCCCGGTGCTGCCAGTTACTTGCTCTGCCCAGGTCCCAGCTGTGGCAATGAACAAACTCCCACGGAGGCCAGGCTGGGCTGATCCCACAGTCTTGATCTTGTGTAGTCATTTACCTTTGTGTGTGGCAGATATAGGATTCTATAAATTGGGACTGCTAATGTCTTGTAGCACAGGTGTAAGTCACTATACAGGGTAGTGAGGAAAGCACAGTGTGCTTATAAAAGTCTTTGGCATCTTTCAGGGTGGAAGGAATTATTATGAAAGTCACTGTCATTTTCCCAACCAATCTACTGCAAGCATTGTCCATGGTACTGAGTCATACAATTCACAGAAGTAGACAGAACTGTACAGTTTATTTATGTTATTACCGTGACTCCTTTTTTTTTTTTTTTTTAAACTTCTCTGCCCAGATGGAAGGAATGGCATCCTGGCTTCCCCTTAAGCATTGATGCCCATTCTCACAGTGATTTGCCTCGTGACATCCAGTTTGACAACGAGAAAGGAGTTGACTTCATTTTGAACTACTCCAAAGCGTATGTGTTCTTGGGGCTCTTGGAAATGGTTAAAAAATTTAATTGGGAAACTAATGAAAAATGTCATGCTTTGCTTTTGGTTCCTTTTTTAAATTTAAAATGAGAACTGTCATTGCAATGTCAATATATCAAATGGCCCTACATTATTCAAATACTAGGAGAAAATATGGTGAAAAAAATTAATATGGGTTTTTAATTTCAAAATTTGCATCATTCCAACTTTGGATCTGGAAGACAGAGTGACTGGTGGGCCCAGGCTATGCTGGTTGTGCCATGTGGAACACCTAAAACATACCAAAGTAGGACCTGTATGAAGCAAGTGGATAGATGGAATCTCTTGCTAACCTATTAGTGCTCATATCAGCTGTTTCTTCCATGAAACATAGTCCTTTGGTTTGCTCTGAAGAATGTATGGATCTTTTTAACAGCATGAAGGGGGAGTGAGACAGATTGGGAGATGATGGACATTGTTTGGGGTAAACCAGTCCTAGAGTCTAATTAGGGACAGGATGCCACATCCCAGGCTCTGGCTGAAAATTCTTAATGGTGTAACAACCACGATTCATGGCAATTCACACTTGGCCTTCAGCACCAAAAAGGAGATAAAACTCCCATTGCATATTTTGTGGAAGAAAATTTTCATAGGTTTTTTGAGCGTCCATCCCATTCAGCCCTTCTAATCCCTCCCCGCCTTTTTCTTTTCCTTCTAGGAACTGTTTCTCATAATGGAAGCAGACTTTGCATTAAAAAAGGGGTTTTAAAGCAAATACATACATCTGTTATTATAAGTGAAGAAGCTGTATCCTAATAGCAGTGAGTCATTCTAGGGTGTTCATGAAGAAGGACACTATATTTTCCCAGCAGCTGTAGGCATGTGGGTCCAGCTTCCCAACACTAAAGAGCCCCATTTCAGAGCCTTTGGCATTATAACACAAGCATCCACACATGATAGCCAGTCATAGTGTTTGCGACATGATATTTAAAGTCTTGCAAAAGATATGTGCAGAGCATTTGAATGAGAGGGGGAGGGGGTGTCAGTGACAATATTTACAGGCCACCACTTCATAGAATTATAGAAGTCGGGTCGGAAGGGACCTTATAGATCTTCAAGTCCAACCCCCTGCCAGGGCAGGAGAAAAAACTGGGCTCAAATGATCCCAGCTAGGTAGGCATCAAGCCTCCTCTTAAAGACACCTAGGGTAGGAGACAGCATCACTTCCCTTGGAAGCTGGTTCCAGATCCTAGCCGTCCTGACCATGAAGTAGTTCTTATGGATGTGTAATCTAAACTTACTCTCCAACAACTTGTGGCCGTTATTCCTTGTTATGCCAGGGGGTGCTAGGGGAAAACAAGGTCTCTCCCAAACCCTTCTGGTCCCCCCTAGTGAGTTTATAGACAGTCACCAGGTCCTGCCTCAGCCTTCTCTCGTGAAGGCTGAACAGGTTCAGGTCCCGCAATCTCTCATTGTAGGGTCTGCCCTGTAGTCCCCGGATCATGCGGGTAGCCTCCTCTGGACCCTCTCAATGTTGTCCACATCCCTCTTGAAGTGCGGCGCCCAGAACTGGACACAGTACTCCAGCTGTGGCCTGACCAGTGTTGCATAGAGGGGGAGGATCACCTCCTTGTCCCACCTAGAGATGCACCTGTGGATGCACGACAAGGTGCGGTTAGCCCTGCCAACCATGACCTCGCATTGTAGGCCCATGTTCATCTCGGAGTCAATAATGACTCCAAGATCCCTTTCTGCCTCTGTGCTCTCAAGAAGGGAGTTTCCCATCTTAATAGGAACCCAAACTTATTTTAGCTTTCTGGTGGACATTCTCAAGAAGTAGTGTGTTACAAGAGCTCTTTTAAGTAAAGTAACTGGACAGCAGGGCAGGGCTTCCTTCCTGGCATGAAGGGGAGAGGAACTAGACAAATATTTTGGATGCCTAAGATTAAAAAAAGTTTAGATTGCAGCTGAGATAAATGTAGTGGCCTTCATTTATTTATTTACCAGTTATCTTATATTTTCATATAAGAAATAAACCACGATGTTTGAAGGCTAGGGTTTTACCTTTGGAATTAAATGGTACCCAGAAGTAGAAACCCCATGGGGTCAGTGTTCCTGCTGGGTGTGGTGGTGATGATGAGAGTGCAGAGGTGGAGATATACTGTTAAGGTATAACTGGGAATAATGGGAGTGAACCTGATCCAAGTGGAGATGTACAAGCTTGTGGAGAAGGGTTGTGATGTATTCCTCATTGCTTGGGACATTTAGAAGTGAACTCAAATGCAGGAGAATACAGTGGGAGGTTGCCTTCATGAGTGGTAGTCAACCTGTTTTGCTAGGTGTGCCACAAATTAAACCCCACTCCCCTCCTGAGTGTTGCTCTGATGTTTGCCTCCAAAGCCATGCTCGATAGAATTAGCTCCCTAGCGTGCTGGAGTGGAGGCAGGGGGGCTTGAGCCTTGAGCCATACAAAGTGGAATAGAGTAGAGTGGGAAGATCCTGCAAGAAGGAAAGTCACTCCCAACCCTTTCCTGGCCCTGTAACCACCACGGTCTTATATGGGGATGGAGGATCCCAAGCCTTTTTAATTTGGCAGTAGCCAGGGAGGGGTTAACCTGGCTCTTGGTAGTGACAATGGGCACCTTCTCCTGCTCCATTCTGCCTGGCCAGAGGCTCAAGCCCTTCTGCCTCTGTTCCAGCATCTCCCTTTACTGGGTATCTGGGGCTTGCATGTTGCACAGAAGCTGCCCATGCCACTTGTGGCTTGTGTGCCATGGGTTGGCCGCTCCTGGCCTATACCAACAGTAATCTGTTTTCTTGAGCTCACTTTGTTGGGCTAAGGTTCATCTAGAGTGTTTGGAAAGCCCAAATCCTTACCCTAGACTCCCTGTTGCAGATGCCTAGAGTGTATGGCTATGCTGAGCCAATGGCATAGATGTACAGATATCATGCATTTTTGCTGTCTCTACCTTGTTTTTTTTTCTAGTGTGTGGCAAGGCTCTGATGAAATGCCTGAATTGCTGAATGGAGAATGGTTTCGTTCTGAGTCTTTTACAGAATTAATAAAAGAGAAGGAAGCATTGTGGTTTTCTTTCTTAAGAGTTGACTTTTGAGTGGCTGGACATGCTTGCATGCATGACTCTCACTTTGCTAAAGCAACAGCAAGTCTGAGATCCAGCATATGTGGGGTTGAGTAGATCTTAAGTCTCTTGCTTGGTTTGATTGAGGTAAGAGTCACATAAGCACCATAGGCTCAGAAGGGGAATGGCCATGAAGAGTTCAGTTTGTCTTGATTTGCTTGAATTCAGTCCCAGAGAAGTGGTGATCCCAAGCACCTGCTGACAGTTCTCTCACATAAAGCTAGCTTGTCTGGCTTCTCATTACACAGATAAATCCCGAGCAGTAATTCAGAGCCAAGCAAGTGTTCATTGTTTTATTTGTATTTCTGCTTTCCCTCTTGCTTTTTTAAAAAACTTTCCCATCTGATGAACTTCTGGGGAAGCACCCCTTCCTATTACCTGGCACATTTTCCATTCTTGATGCTCAGAAAATGTTCTTCCCTAGGGTATGATACTTCTTGGTCTCTGAAGACAATGATCAGATATCTTTCTGAGTGTGCAATTGTACTAGCCCTACTCCATAGCACACTATATTACATTGCTATATACTACTTACTGCTTCATCTGGGCTAGATACAGACCTTAAAAAAGCCAGAGACAGAATCAGTCTAAGTTACGTGGTTTTCTATACACAGTGTAGTTTATATTGGTAGTGAACAAAACACACATTCACACTTTGGTGTGAGGTCGGCAAATCTTAGGCTGGGTTCCATCATTTTTAAACTATTTTTTATTCTGTGTGCCTAACTTCTGTTCTGTTACAGGTATAGACCAATTTCTGATGGCTTACACCAGTAAACGTGTAATGTCTGTACTTGGTCCTGATGTTGCTACTGATCTGACAACAAATGAAACATTTCATATCTGTCTGGCTTAGGGTCAGTTCCCCCCAGATTCATGAAGAATTCCCCTCTTGGTACCACCAAGCACCTTTTATTGTTGCCCCCATATTCTAGGGCCCTCTTGGAAAGGATTGCTCACTGATACCCCTTGCTCTTTCCTGCAAGATTTTGTTCCATATATTCCTGTTGACTTCTCAGCTCTTTCTTGACCGCTACCTACCCCTTTCCTCTTAATGTTATCTGCAAACATTAGCTCAGCAAACTAGGAGTGCCCAGGCAAAGCCTCTTTTTCATTTGAATCTATTCCAGTCTCCTTGGATTTTTAATAATGTTTGAGGTTTGTCTCTAAGCAGTGCTTTACTAACAGCTAGTCACACTCCTGTGGGATGGGCCAGTATTATCCCCATAGAGGAGCATAAGTCGAGGTACAGGGAGGTGAATAACTTGACCCAAACTAGAGAAATTTCTGTCCACAGTGTAATTAGAACTCAGACATTTCTGACTCCAAGTCCAGACAGACTCTTAGTCTTTAGTCAGATTATTTGGTTTCTGAGTTTCCAGTTAAATGTAGTGGAATATTAAAGTATATTCAGCCACCTACTGAAAATAGTGGAAAGCTCCAAAGTCCTGATTATCTCCCCGTTCTGTCTCATCCTCATCCGTAACACTATGTTTTCATCTTCCACTTTTTTTTTTATCTGGTCATTAATGCAGTTTACCAGTCTGGCCCTTGTCTGGTTTGACCATTGACCTTTCTGTATATGTTATTGGATATTTCAGTAAAGCTCTCAGAGATTTCACTCCCAACATTATCCCCTCCTCTGTCCCATAGGCAGATCTAGGATTTTGAAAAGGGGGGTGAGGGAGTAGGCAGGGGATGGGGCCTGTTAGGGGTTCCCCCATGGTCCCAGCCCCCCTCCCCCACCCCTACTTACTGGCTCTGAGTCCAGCTGCAGCTCCCTGCTGCAGCCATGAGGGACTGTCTGAATCATCGAAACTTCGAATCTTTTCCAAAGATTCAGAGAGCTTTGAATTGATTTGGACCTTTTAAATGGTTCCCTGATTCGATCTGGAGACAGAATCAGACCAAATCTCCTCTGAATCAAATCACCACCCAAAGCTTCCCAGAGCCCTAATACCTGGAGACAGTCCCTGTATGGGGGTGCTCTTAGTCTGCAAGTGCAACAGGCAGGTGAAAGTGAGAAATGTGAGGTTTGGGAGGGGAAAGTAATAATACAGGAAAGAAGTGGCTAGCAGAAAAATACATAATGATCTGCTGTGTGACCTGGGAGGGGGCAAGATCCATTTGGGCTCCTCCAGCGATCACTTGGGGCCCAGACACGCAAGGTTTTGATGTTGTATGTACCTATGAAGAATGAGTGTGATTTTCATGTCAATATAATTCCCCAGAGGACAGTTGGACACTACATAAAAATCTACTCTACAATCAGTGTCCTGCTTGGGAGTCTCATCTAGGAAGCCAAGTATTGAATTTGCCTGAGTGAACTACTCTTCATCCATAATAGGTTCCCTGAACCCAGTGCCTCAAGGTCATGGCCAGAGCACTGCGGGGAACCTTGCATTGCTGACATGGAGATGAGTCTGGCCCAGGTTCTAAGACGAGAAGGCTGGCCTAACACAGAGGGCTAAGACTTAGGGAACCTGATTCATGCCTTTGCTCTAATACAAGTTACCAATGTGACCTGAGACAGGTTACTTAACCTCCATTTTCCTCCTGTAGAATGAGGCTAATAACACTCCCTATCTACTTTGGATTGAAAGGATAAATACATTAAGAGCTCTGCAGTCCTCTGATACTGTGGGAATGGGACCATATAACTATCTTGCATAAATTAAATCTTCTCTACAAGGGGGTGTTTTTGTTAGTTCTACCAGCGCTCCCTCACGCTAGCAATGAGCCCCAGAATACTCCCAACACAAGTGTTTTTAATAGTAATTCCTAGCTCTTACAACATTTTTAACCCAAGGACATCTCGACAGAATGGAGCTTGGAAAGTTTGTGTGTCAGATTGTCTAACGTGGTACTGGGGACAGAACTTGATCATCCAGCCAGGTCCCTTCCGGTACACTGTGCAAAGGTACAATCTATTGGCTGAATAATCTCACGCATTCTGTCACAGGAAGTTTACTATTGGTCACAGGAGGTGAAGTGTTTAGAGGAGCTGCTGAGAAAGCAAAATATGATTTCCCTTTTTTAGCACTTTGTTTTTTCTACAGGATGGAGAATCTGTATGTCAATCGCTTCATGCACATGTTCCAATCATCCTGGAGTGACTTTGCAGATTTTGAGAAGATCTTTGTCCGAATCAGCAATACAATCTCTGGTGGGTTTATCTGGTCATGTTTGCTTCATAGAATAACTTATCATTCATTTACCATCTAAGTACTGGGTGGGGTGGAAATGGCTAGCCTTGAGCTCCTAAGCAATTCTGGCCTGACACAGCTACCCCTTCCATGCCTTGGATACATGCCTAATGAGATTTTCAAAAGCACCTAAAAAGCCTAGATACTTAACTAGATGATTGGATTTGATTTTCAAAATTTTTCCAACGTACTTAGATGTTTTAAAAAATCCCATTATTTGTATGTTTTCATGATCTGGCACCATTAGGCACTTTGCAAATGTTGCTCTTCAAGTTTATAGACTTTAACGGCAGCAGGGACAGTTATAATCTTCTACCCTGACTTCCTGCATAACATAGGCCTGAAAATCTGACATAAGCCACCGTTTTCAAAACTCTGTATTCATTTAGAAGCCTAAGTCCCTTTGCAAATTCATGGGTCTTAGGCTTCTCAGTCATGTTGGTACATATTGTCTCTAGTGGGTTATGGAATAGAGAAAGATCCCACACAATTTACTGATTTGTTTGATGTGCCTGGCTGGGGGAGTATTTGGTTGCTTGCACAATTTCACAATGATTGCACACTTAATTCATACACCACAATTTTATTTTAAAATTCCTCGCTACGCATATAACATTTCTTAGCTTTAAGAAAAACCACAAACATTAAAAACACAGTAACTACGTATATTAGAAACAATGCTCCAAACACACTTCCTTCCAAAACAACGCTATAAGAATTAGTATTACAAAAACAACTACAATTACAAGTAAAGGTAATTTCTCGTGGTATACTTACAATCCTAGAATTCCAAGAAACCAAATCCCCAAGGATACTTTCATTCTTTAGTTATGGTTTTAGGGTTGGTCTCAGCAGTGATAGGAACAAGTCCCCTTCCTTCGGTCCCACTTGGGCGCTCTGCGGCTTCAGCATGCACGGGAGTTCTTGTTCACGGGGAGGGTGGTTCAGGGGATCAGTCTGATCCAGCCTGCACTTGCAATTCTTCCTTCAGTGTTCTGCAAGTGAGATTACTTCCAAACTGGGATGGTAGGTTACAGTTTTTATTGGGTGAGTTGCTGTTTTGGGCCCCTACTATCCAAACCTGTCACTACTCCTGAATTTGGGCTCAGATCTTTTACCCAACAGATTCCTTTCCTGGGTCTCCTTGGGAAATATTCCATACTACTGCTGTGACCTATTGCCAACCCCTTCCAAAAGCCCCTAGGTTTCGATCTCTTGGAGCGTTTGCCTAAGTGTCGCTTTTAGGTTAACTTTGTTAAAGGCTTCTAGTGATAAAATTCAAAACCCAAGACATTCAGCACGTTCACTGCAAGGCCTCTAAAGATAAAATTCAGAATCAAGACATTCACCACGTAGGCAAAAACAAGCAACAACCCTAGATAAAAAGATGAACCTTGCCTTTTTTCTAAACTGGCTAATGGGTATTTATTACAAAAATTCAAACTATTACATTCAATATGACACATATGTAGATATTACCCAGAAACTAGTTGGTTTCCAGAAATAACTGAAAATTAGTTTCATTTACTACGTCTTCTCACAACCAATCTTTGTGGTTTCGCAGTTATAGTCATCTCTTTTTAAAAACCTCTCTCCCTTTTCTGCTGTTTGAGAAATCTACATAAGCTCAGGAACCTGCTCCAGACCATAGGAGAGAAACAACCTTCAGTAAATAGGGACTGTTTGATGTGATGCCTGTGATAACAGGGGACTAAGCGCAATGAGCCAGGCAGGCCCATGTTTCAGTACAAAGTGATTCTATACAAAGAGTTGACAGAACCGATGAAGAACCCTTTTTTCTCTAATCCATTTTAATTAATTACAGCAAATTTAGCTGTTACTTGAAACAGTGGTATGTAAAGGGTATTCAGAGAAACTGCTGGTGTTCTTCTAAATCTCCTTTATGTGCTAGATAAGATTTTTTAATAAATATCAGTTGCTTGAATCTGTAAAATTTTTAGTTGGGCCTAGAGGGAATTTAACAAGAATAGAAGTACCTCTTGATCTCTAAGACTTGAAACAATGGCCCATAGGACATGCAGAGCTGTTAAAACTGATTACAATAATTTGATACATGTAATGAGAGTATTTCTTCAAAGTGCAATTAGATGAATTGCAGATGTAAGCCATTCTAATTTAACTGATAACATTTCTGTCCTGATAAATAGGCCTCCGTTTAATGCAGACAGTTGCAAATTCTTAACTTTGGACATCACTTCCAAATCAGTGTGACTATTCACCTGTTTACGCATCAGGGTTGGCAGAATTGCAGCTAATAAAAGATCAGTTCAGATTACTTTTCCTTTTGCAATCCCATGGTTTCTGCCCAAGGATGAGCAATATTGACACGCTCAGCATAGCCTTCAGGAACAGCTACCTAACCCATTGTGTAATTTGCAAATATAGTGCAAATATAAATTCACAGAAATCCCTAACCTTTTAATTGTGTTAGAGTGTAATGATGGTCTTATGATAAAGTACTTTCCATTTAGCACTATATTTCCATATGCCTCTTGTCTTCCTGCTTTCAGATAGGGAAGAAAGCAGCAGCTTTCATGAAAAAGTTCTGACCTGGCTGAAAATAGGAACTACTGGAAAGCAGGTTTTTCTTTTTCTCTGCTATAAGGCATCTACTGGATTTTCACTGTGATCAAACCTGTTGAAATGTGATAATGCATTTGCCTGTTTCAAATGTCATAGGCTGAAATGGCAAAGTGACATTATAAAATCAACAACACAATGCAACGGTGGGAAACACATAAAGCTACACAAATGAAACAGCACTGAGTTCAGCAGGTCGCCCCACTCCAGGGAGGCAGGATCACCCAGTCTTACCCTGACCACTGCCAAGCCCCCCTGTATTTTGCGGTGGAGATGCTCAGCACCTCCGAGTTGATCTCTGGTACCGGTAGGCGTTTGGCCAAACAGCCTTCAGAATAGGTGGCTTGTTTGACCCCAGTACTCTTTCCTGTCATGGCAGGGGGTTGGACTTGATGATCTGCTCAGGTCTCTTCTGACCCTACAAACTATGAAACAACAAAGTCAAAAAGTAACTAAATGTAATGTTTTATTAGTTGTATTTATCTGATCTAAGTGTAAATCCATAATCTCCACTAATGGATGTTATTCATTTTCACATTTAATTATCTCCTTAATACCTTAAACAATGCCACACGGAGCATGTAAAGCTGTTAAAACCACTTACAATGTTTTGCTGCATATAATGGGATTGCTTCCTCAAAGTACCTTATAAACCACCTTCATTGAAAAGGTTCCTGAATCTTTGACAGACTTTCTGTACCTAAAAATTGCTTCACCCCTCCTGAAATGTTGGCGCCTCAGTGTAGGAATACAGTTGCTGTTTAATAATACATTCGCAGCAACTTAGAAATAAAGTTATGAATGTATTATCCATGTAAGAGAAATTTTAAAATCCCTACTACACAAAGCTGTAAAAAAAAAAAAAAAGATACTGAACCCCCTCACACCACCTTATTCACTCATTGAGGCGGCCATGCACACAAACTCCCATCCTATAGAGTGCTGTCATTTTGTTTCTTTTTCAGAATATGTGATGCAGCACTGGAAAGAAGACTTTATGTTTGGATACCAGTTCCTGAATGGTTGCAATCCTGTAATGATCAAGAGATGTACAGAGATACCCAAAAAGTTTCCAGTTACCACAGAAATGGTAGAATGTAGCCTGGAGAGAAACCTGACTCTGGAAGAGGAAATAAAGGTACAGCCTTGAATGATTTTGGGCTTGTTCTTTCTCTTTTCATAGTCATAATGCTCCAATCATTGTACTATCTAAGAGTGTAGACAGATATGTAGATGCCTACTGTAATTTACAACAGTTTATATTCCAGTGTAAATGATACTGACATCAGAAATTGATAAATATGAAGGTACCTAGGAGTAATTCACAGGGTTGGAAGCTATGACGGCATCTCTTTGTAAGGCAGAAGGGTAGCAAGAAATAGTCATTTTAGCTGGCTCAGGGTGGATGTGTAGGTGGGTTTCCCTTGATTCTTCAAGGGTAAATTCTCCACCAGATTTGGCAAAGTTACCCTCTATCTTCAACTTTTTTTTTTTTTAGCTAGAGTAAATGTTATGCCTGTCTTAGCCCCGAGCAGAATTTTGGATACTTTTTCTCACATAATTTGTAAAGGTAACATTAATTTACTTGGCTGGATTTTTTTTCACCTCTTAGCAGAAATTTCAGCATTTGTATGTTAGGTTGTTCCAAATTCAGCTTCTATTAGACAAATATCACTATTGCAAAAAAAAAAAAAAAAAAAAAAAGCACTCTAAGGGCAAAGGATTGAGTGGGCCAGGTTGGCCAAACTCCATTCCTACTCTGAGGAGTTTTACTCCCCTTCACATTGCCAGATCAGAAGAGATGAGCCCTAGTGGCAAAGTATTGAAGGTGGATAGGCTTTAACTTTCACTCTTAAAGGAAGGTTGTCTCTCCTTGACCAATGGTATGATGTGAAGAAATTTGTGTCACAACATCATAATGGAAGGTCTTGAAAGGCTGGCCACTCTTTTGCTAAAACATTCAGTGGGCACATCTACATGAGATGCTAAATGCACAGTAGTCAAATAATATTGCTTAGAAGCATGTCACAGCATAAAACAGTTCTAATACACTACTGCACAGTATTGTTAGGCTACTGTGCAGTATCATCACTAAACAGGTGTGTGCTGGTGTTACTGTTCAGTAGTGCCAGTTACTGTATATTGATTTAGTACTTGATTAAAACAATGTGAGCACAGAGGTGGAAAGGGATTTTGGAGTCATTATTGACTCCAAGATGAGCATGAGCTGACAATGCCAGACCACAGCCAGCAAAGCCAGCCGCACCTTGTTTTGTATCCAAAGATGCACCTCAAGCCAGTCCAGAGAGGTAATACATGACATTGGTCAGGCCATAATTGGAGTACTGTGTCCAGTTCTGGGCACCGCACTTTAAGAAGGATGTGGCCTGCCTTGAGAGGGTTCAGAGGAGGGCCACCCTCTTGGTTGGAGGGCAGCAGGGTAGGCCCTATGAGGAAAGGCTGAGGGACCTGAACTTGTTCAGCCTCAGCAAGTGGAGGCTGAGGGGGGATTTGGTGGCTGCCTACAAGCTCGTTAGGGGAGATCAGCAGCAAATAGGAAGGGTCCTATTTCCCCCAGCAGCACCTGGGGTGATGAGGAACAATGGCCAGAAGCTGCTGGAGAATAGGTTCAGGTTAGAGATTAGGAGGCACTATTTCACTGTTAGGGTGGCTAGGATCTGGAACCAATTTCCTAGGGAAGTGGTCCTTGCTTCTACCTTGGATAAATTCAAAAAGAGGTTGGATTAACACCTGTCTGGGGTCATGTGATCCCAGTGTGTGCTCCTACCAGTGGCGGGGGTTCAGACTAGGTGATCTGTTCAGGTCCCTTCTGACCCCAAACTACTTTGAAACTATGAATTATACAAGCACAAAGCTTAATGTGCAGTAACTATGATGCATTCATGAATGTGTAGATGTGACCAATATTAGTTTCTGCAGACTCAAACCAGCTGCTTCAGCTTACATAGTCCATCTATATAAAGCAGAATATAGCTAAAAGCCCATCTGCCAGTTTACTATTGCAGGGCATAAACCAACTTCTAGCTGAGGAGGTTAGAAGAAACTTATCCTATCATGGACTATACTGGGGAGTGCGGGGCTGGGATCTTGCACCTTCTTCTAAAATTGAAGACTGGCAAAGCCTATATCCTGGACTAGATGGATCACTGGTTTGGTGCATTAGTTTCCTGGTTTCCTTTCTTTCCTCTCTGTGTCAAAACATGTTGCTTCCTTTTCACTTTCAACAGAAAGGGAATGTTTTCATCGTGGACTATGAACTGCTCGATGGAATTGATGCCAATAAAACAGACCCATGCACAATACAGTACTTGACTGCACCCATCTGCTTGCTTTACAAAAACCTGGAGAATAAAATTGTCCCCATTGCAATCCAGGTAGGTTTGTTGTCTGAGCCTCTAAAGGGCATCTGTATATTGTTGTGGGCAGTATACTAAAAAAGTATTTTTTAACCTTTTCAGCTCAGTCAGGCTTCAGGACCAGACAATCCCATATTCCTCCCTTCAGATTCTACCTATGACTGGTTAATGGCCAAAATTTGGGTTCGCTCTTCTGATTTCCACGTGCATCAGACTGTGACTCATCTCCTGCGGACACACTTAGTTTCTGAAGTATTTAGCATAGCCATGTTCCGGCAACTGCCTTCTGTGCATCCCTTCTTCAAGGCAAGCTCTTGTTTTAAAGAGAGAAAGTGAACATGGGCATTAGAGGGAATCTCTTTGGTTTGAGGGGAGCTGTGTTAGATGCTGTGAGTCAGTTTATACAGAAGTTAGCAGCTTTTCAGCCAGTTTTCTGTTTTCTTTGAGCACTCGTGTTCTGACGAACCAGGCAAAGACCTACCAGTTCTATTGATAATGCACTGGGTTGCATGGCAAGGTGTTGTGGTGTCAGGGTGACCTCTTTTAGGTCTTTAAACTTCACACCCATTTGCCAATAGGTTAAGTTAGAAAAGGTGACTCCAACTGAACTCCTTTCTCATTGTTCTTCCCTTGCCCAGCTCCTGGTGCCCCATATGCGGTTCACCATAGCTATCAACACCAAAGCCAGGGAGCAGCTCATCTGTGAATGTGGTCTCTTTGACAAGGTGAGGCATATACATCTGCTTTGCATCTCCTCTTTGTTTTTCATATCACTCTGGGGATTTTGTGGGTCTTGCACTGTTTTGTTTTTTTCGTTTGTTCTGCCAAAGTGTTCTAAGTACGTGAAACTCATGTGCACCTGCCCCACGCAGGCAGCATGAAGCCTTTCTTCTCTAAGTCACCAATTCAAAATTGCTGGAAACCAGTAGTAGCCAAATACCAAGTATGCAATTAATTGCCTGGATTTTATGAAATAAGCATTCACAGTTTATATAATATACAAGTGCATTTGCGTATATCTTTACAATTGTCATGTATGTCCTTTTGTAGATAGAGCCAAGCGCGTGATATATTGTATATTTACAAGGTTATAGGGTAACATTTTCCAAAGTGGCTGAATTACTTGGGAACCAACATTCTGCTTGTTTTAAGTCACTTGAAAAATTAATCTTAGGCTGCTAGGATGTTGGGTATAGCTGTGTTGGTCTAAGGACATTGGCAGACAAAATTCTTTAGGTAATTGTGATACCTTTTATTAGACAAACTACATCTAAATTTATCTAATAAAAGACATCACATTTACCCAAAGAACCTTGTCTGCCTCTTAGGCTCTTAATCACTTGATGCCTTAGGACATTTTTTCTTACGGTTCTTGTGTGTCTGATGCATAATAACATTGTTTTGTTAACTATGTGCCCAAACACTACTTAAAAGAATGCTTTACTGGATTTTTGAAGTGTTATTTGCATTAGGATAGGATCATGGCTGAGAAGCACAGTTTCTGATAACAAAAGGAAATAAGCCAAGTATCATTAGATACCCTCCTAAAAGGGGATGATGAAAGCAAGATAAATTTCTGTGGGCCACCAATCCAATGCGTAGACCTTCACCACTACTTCCTTTGGTTGCAATGAACGGAAGATCTACAGCTTTATGTTGATGAATGCTGGTTCTGTTGCTGTTCCAGCAAAGAGCCTTTCTACTGTGAGCTGTATTAATGTCACATTTCACAAAGTAAACAGCTTGCCATGGATAAGCAGAAGCCCTTACTACTTCTTTTTACAGAAGATTTGATACCATATTTCATAGAAAAAGAAATTCTAATGCACTTGCCTTGAGCCCAATCCCAGTCCTGGGTAATTGCATGCTTCTTGTCTAAACCACTTCAGAATTTGATGCAGTATCCTTCTTCACCTAAATGTTTTTGTAGCTTTACTATACACTGTTAAGCAACTAACAAGTTCTACCTCAGAAGTGACTGTGTTAAAGTCCTAAGGACAGTTAGTGCTCTGGGATCCTTGTCATGATGCACATGTAACATACTATTAGGGGAATGCATAAATGGGGAAAAATATATCTAGGAAAAACAAGGTAATCCTTAAAATGGGTGTGTGAAGATCCAAAACCAAGTGCCCAGTGTCACTTGATTTGGTTATTTCAAAACTATTTGTGCAGAAATAGTGGCTTCTTCTAGAATGATGTGGGTGGTGGTCTGCTGGCATACCTTCAGCTGGGGATCTGGAAAGCCAGATTATGAGATCATAGCAGCCTCCTTCATTTAATACTTCTGTTTTCCGTATCTCAGGCAAATGCCACGGGAGGAGGTGGACACGTGCAAATGGTGCAGCGAGCAATGAAGGAGCTTACCTATAATTCTCTCTGCTTCCCAGAGGCAATCAAAGCCAAAGGGATGGATAGCCAGGAGGATATTCCCTATTACTTTTACCGGGATGATGGCATCAAAGTTTGGGAAGCCATAAGGAGGTAGGAGAATGTATATGTTGGTGACTGAACTCTAACAAAGATCCACTTGAGCCTCCTGGCCCAATGCGGTTAAGGTATACTGCTTTCTTAGCCAATAGCACCATAAGAAAATGGTGTGGCTGGCATCATATCCATCTGTCTTTGACTCCCCTTCCTAAAGGACCAGGTGCCCATTACTGCTGGGAACTGCATTTGGCGCTAGGCTAGAGCAGGGCTTGAACTGTACCCTTGGAGCACTTGAGCAATCATGTGCTCTTTAGTAAGACCTGACAGGGTTAAATGTGGATGCAAATAGACCCTGTGAGAACTTAACAATTCTGTCATCAATGTACAAGCCAGAAGAGAACCAAGCTCCTGCTCCCAAAGATATTACCTCTGCAGAGCTTTTGGAAGTAAGAATATAAACCTTGTCCTCAGGAGAGAACTGTACTCAAAACCCAAAGGAAATCTTGTGGAGCCTCTCTTCTGGTTTAAACAAATAAGGTTTCAGTTCCATTGAATTAATCCATTCTTCATGAATTGGTGTGTACCCACAGGAGTTTACACTGGCTTAAAACTCAGTATATGCTGAAGTGCTGCAAGCTAGAAAGGCCTGAGGTTTGTGAGGGACACCAGTGATTCTGACCCTGGGCAGGACAGATTATTGAGTTAAAAGGTGCCCTTCTGTAGGCAGTATTTTTGAAGGCTGAATCACATTCTCAAAACTGATGGATTCACCACATGGCTCTTCCCTTTGGCCATGTGTAGACAAAATGAGTATTTTCCTAAAAGTGTGTGTGTGTGTGTGTGTGTGTGTGTGTGTGTGTGTGTGTGTTAATTAGTGCAGTAACTTTAAAAGCATATTGGTATCTCTGATCACATGGCCTTTTAAAAAGTGAATTCAGTAAAGGGCATGCCTTTGTAAGTGAAAAGTATCAGTGTTTATCAACAATATTTAGAAACTCTGTCACACTGCTATCTTCCATGCCCAGCTCTGGTTTTTGCTATCTCCCATCAGCCATGGTTTCTCTCTGTATATTTCCCAGAATTGCTGGAATTCACCTGAAAGAAAAGGAAGTCACGTCTTCCTTGTGGCTGTTTTTTTCAATGCACTCTCTCTGTCTCTATACTGTTCCTTTCCCTTCTCACCCTTCCTGTGTTATCTTGTAGGCCTGTGCGAGTAGGCAGCTACTCAATCCGGCTTCAGAACTGGCCGCTTTGGATGCCAGGGATCCGATCTGGACCTCCGGTCTGGGTTTCCACCTCGATCCGGCCGAAGCAGCTCCGAAGCTTAGGAGCTGCCTTGGTGATCCGGCCATAGGGTATAATGGGGAATCAATGAAATATCTATAACTTTGTTGTTTTTTGACCAATTTAGATTAAACTTGCAGGGATGGTAGCATGAAACCTGTCAAGTTTCAAGAAGATCGGTGCAGGGGTTTGGGGGGAACTGTACCCCAAATTCTTGAAAGCAAAACTCCTGTCATGTCTATGTGTTACACCACAGGGGGGTCAAAACTGCAGGGGATGTAGCTCTTATTGAGGCCACAAAGCCTGCCAAGTTTCAAGAAGATCGGTGCAGGGGTTTGGGGGGAATTGCACCTCAAGCTGCAGACAAGCAAAACTGGTGCCATGGGTGACACTGCGTGTGTTAAGGCCCAGCAGGCAGGGGTGGTGGCTCCTGCTGAGGTCACGACGCCTGCCAGCTGTCGAGGAGATCAGTGCAGGGGGTTTTGGGGGCCCTGCACCTCTAGCTGCTGACAGACAAAACTCATGTCATAGGTGCTTGTGGGACTGACTGCCTTGGGGCAGTTGATTGTCTGTATTGATTCTTTCCTCTCCTTACCCTGGTTTTGTAGGTGCTAATTGATGGCAATTAACTGGCTACATTAGCTAGGTCCTGTGTATTGAGCTGGTCCCTGAGTGAGTCATGATTGATTGGTAACTGGTAACACAGTAGTGTAGCAGCCAGGCCTGCAGTAGTCTCCCATGCCCCAAGAATTTGGGGTGTAGTTCCCTCCAAAACCCTGCACCAATCTTCTTGAAACTTGGCAAGCTTTGTAGCCGCAGCATAGGCTACCACCCCTGCAGTTTTCATCTCCCTATGTTGTAACGCCCAGACGTGACATGAGTTTTGCTTTCAGGAATTTGGGGTGCAGTTCCCCCCAAACCCCTGCATCGATCTTCTTGAAACCTTGCAAGCTTAATGCTCTCTGCAGAATCTACCACCTCTGAAAATTTCATCCAAATTGGATAATCCCCTCTCCCCAAAGTTATAGATATTTTATTGGTTCCCCATTATACCCTTTGGCCGGATCTCCGAGGCGCTTCGACTCGGACATGCTGCTTCGGACCCCAAAGCGTGGGAAGCTTCTCTGGATCTGAAGCTCTGTCCAAAGCCTTGCATAGCCCTATTATCTTGCCTATTTGGATCTGATATCTTTATGAATACAGAGTAGCACTTGTACTCTGTATTATAAATTCAGGGTCAGGGTGGATTGATTTAAACCAGGTTAATTTAAATAATGATTTAAACCAACAAGCCCAAAAGCCCAATTTAAATAATCATTTTTGACCAATTTTCCCATTGCATTTTGTTGTTGTTTTCTAAAGAAAAGTGTATTATCATTGGTTGATATAACAATTAAAACATGTTGATTTACAACTAAATACAGCTTTTACAGTAGATTTTGTACATATGATTCCTAGGTATGCAAACATATATAGCTTAACATATTTGGATCGTTAGAAATCATTCATTTTAGTATGCTATAAAATGGTTAAATATACATTTCTTATTTGATAGATGATTAACCTTTTGCTCATATTTGTATCAAGCTGCGTTAAGGTGGCAACTTGAATTTAATTAAACACACAAAACAATCATTTCAAATTTATTAAACAAAACTGTACTATTTTGAATACAGAAACTTTTTATCAGAACATGGTGAACATTTACAACTAACTAATGTTTTAAACACTAGCATTAACTCTTATAGTATTACAAGTATGAACTGTGTGGTTAGCGAATGAAACCAATTATATCAGGCCAGGGAATTTTTTCTAAAATTCCTAGGTTATTTGAGCTTAAGTTCCTACTTGCTTAATTATCTTTAAAATGAGCCCAGTCATTTTTTACCTAGTTTGTTTTGAATAATTTTACCCCCTTTTTTGACAAAAATACCCCCTTTTTCCTAGTTTTAAAACTCATAAATCTCATCTTCCCCCCACGCCCTTCCCCTTCCCCTTCCCCTTTTTATTCATAGACTAGAAGAGGAAAAAAGCTTTCTTCCTTTTTCAACTTCCAATAGATTTCTCATTTCTGAATGAACAAGTACAAATGAAGAAAATATTCTTTCTGAAGAGACTACTGGTGGCAAAATGTGGTTTAGCACTTCAACAAACTCTGGTTCCAGGTGCTTTGCTAGTGACTTTCACCAGTTCACTGGTGGGACTTTTTTAAAAACAGCCTTAGCAAGCTTGTGCTGCTTAAATGGTTTACCTCCAGCTCTGAAATTATTTATGATTAGCATGACTGATGGGTGATTAGTAGATGCCCATGTCATAGCAGCATTTTCCTCTTTGGCAGTTAGGCATCTTCCCTGGTACTTTGTGTTAAGAATATTGGTAGGAAAATAAGGTGGAGTAAGTATTTGATTCATCCACTTCTTTACTGCCTGCAATTTAACTTTGATGTTGGGTGTTTCTTTCTTTAATACTTCTTGAAGTTCTTTCCAAATTTGAACAGCTTCCACAATACAGCAGCAATCCTTCTGTAGTGTCCCCGAGGCTATGGAAATGGCCTGTAATGTATTTGGCACATCTTCTGCATTTCTCTTCAGTCCAATGTTGACTATTCTAGCTGTGATACTTCCTTCAGTTCCGTCATGCTTTTCTCCACAGATGATCATCAGAATAGACCGGTTCTTAGTAAATAGTTCAATGCAGTCAACCACTGAATTTCATCATACATCTTTGGGGAGAATTAGCTTGGATCTCCCAGTTCTCTTCAACGAAGTTGAAGCAAACTGCTCGTTAAGGAAGTCTTTTCAATAACATTTTCCTTTATTTCTGGAGTACTTAAATCTTGGGCTAAAAGATGCATCAAATGAGCACTGCACCCATAAATTATAAGTTTCAGGTTTGCTTCAAAATCTTCTTCCAAATTTCTTCTCATTTTTGCTACATTTGCAGCAATAGGTTCCAACACCTGCTATGACTCTGCTGACCCTTTGCATCCAGTAGTACAGACCTCACATCCCTTGTACAGTCAAGTATCCGTACATAATTTTTGTGCCATATTCTTGAACCTTTTTCTCAAAAGTTAGATGTTGTGCCCCCCTCATTTTTATATGGAAGAAAATCAGCCTTTTACTCCAGAGTTTTTAGGAGAGGCTCACTGACTTGGCAATTATTTTATTTAAATTATTTTAATAAATTATACTCAATTTATACCTTAACCAGTGCTGTATTAAATTAATATTTTATTTTAAGATAATTTATTTTTAAAAAGAGAGCTCTAATTATAATTTAAATGAAGAAATCTGATTTTTTAAATCCATCCTGTTCAGGGGGCTGTGGGACTGTTTGTAAGTGGCCAGAGGGTGGGGGTCAGACTTCATCCCTCAGTGAGACATCTTTCACTAATGGATAGTTCAGCTGCTGAGTTCTATAAATTGTACATTTTAGAGTGTTTGTGACACTGGCTGCTTGCAAATGTTAAAAAAAATGGCACTTTAAATTAAACTTGGCACATTCCCACACTGAGCCCAGCGCATGTCCAGAAGTAGCAGTATCCTAGTTGGACCTGGATCATCCAATGCCTGCATACATCAGGCACTTTAGTGGGGCTTTTTTGGTGCTTTATTTAATAGCTGATTGACTCAGCTTCAGATAAAGCACCAAAGAGCCCCACTAAAGTGTGTGATCTATATAGACGCTGCAGAGTGAGGTTGAAGTAATGTGCTGCTGTTTCCAGTAAAACACTTTTTTGGGTCTTTTTAACATCTGCAAGCAGCCACTGATCTTTGACCCATTTGTCATAAAGGTGCCTATTCCCTCTGAACCTCTTAAAACTAGGGTGCTCTGGATCTGCGTTACGTGGACAGAACAAATGCTTCCATCTCTACCGCTCTTTCTGTAGTTAAATGGTATAGCTTTGGGGCACAGATATTGATCTGGGGCAGGGCAAGTGGGATGGTGGTGCTTCATCTAGGGATACATGTCTAAATTTTAATAGCAGCACTGGGGCTTCTGATTGGTCAATGCACAGTGAGCACGTAGACATTGGTGTTGGCACCTGTCATTAGAGATGCACTGTGGAAGGGGGCATGAACATCTGTACTTTGCAGATAAAGGGTTACACCACCAAAAAAGTTTGAAAACACTGCCATAGGGAACTTCTCCTGGGTGAATTAGCCTTGGTAGCCTCTGCAGAGAGAGAGAATTTGAGGGAAAAGAAGGATTCCTCATGTGATGAAGCTCTTGTTGAGCACCAAGATAGGAAAGAGCTCTAATCATAGGGGCCAGGCCAGGAAAAGAAACAAAGAGAGGGATACAAAGGGGAGCTGAGACAAGGTGAAAATAGCATTAAGAAACAAGGGCAGAGATCTAGGCAGAAAGAAAACCTCAAAGAGGAAGGAAAGAAACACTTGACTGAGGACAGTAAAGGAAATGGATAAGGTGGTCAAGGAAGAGGAGGTTGAGTGGCATCAGGTCAGAGGTGAAAAGCTTGCAGTTGATAGTTGCAAATGAACCAGGGCTAGTGATATGACTCCCCAGCTAAGTCATGCTGCTACCAGAGACTATCCTGTGCTCTTTCAAATCCCTCCTGTCCTGAAGGTTGCTGCCACGTCTGCCATTGTGTGTGATGGTCTGTATGCACTCTGAGATGTTGCAGCAAAAGGTCACCAAGAAATAACCTGGGTTCCTTTTTCCCCCCTACCTGCCCTACTTTTTTTCTTTGTTTTGCTGTAACTGAAGCTTTGTAGAGGAGGTGATTGGCATCTACTATGAGAGTGATGAGGTGGTGAGTGAAGATGTGGAGCTGCAAGCCTTCATCAAGGATGTCTATGTCTATGGAATGAAAGGCAACAAAACTTCAGGTGAGAGGCATTCGCCAAGCAAGGGCTGCATTTTCTCTGGTGCCAGCCACCATTCAAAGCCACTTGCACAGCAAGTCTTGAACTGTTGGAGATTTCCTTTGTGCTTCTGGGAGAGACAGTCTTGTGGGTGAGTCTCTGGACTGGGACTCAAAAGAATGAGCCTTGGTTCTTCCCTCTACCCCAGATCTCCTGCATGATTCAGGTCAACACCTATGATCTCTCTGTACCTCAGGCCCGTATCTGTACAATGGGGTGGCATACCTTTCATTATCTTGTCTGTTAATATTGTCAGCTCCATGGGACAGGGACTATTTTAATGAGTGACCTCCAGGACAAC